ATATATTATTATAATATAAATTATATAATTGTCAGTTTTCAAAAGTACTGAAATGAATGTCAGCAATAATATCGGCATCAGCAATTTTAAAAAAGTATCAGTATTAGTGAGATATTGGAAGCCGATCAATTTTTCTAAAAAAAAATTCAAATGTTGTAAACATTTTAGATGTATAATATCAGCCAATATCGGTTATCGGCCAAAACAACATAATTATCTTATCATATCGGTTAAAATTTTCTATGTCCGCTCATCCCTATGAATAAATGACAGATAGCTGTGACGCTGCACCTTTGTAGAAAGGTCGTCCCATCAGGATGTCTCCTCGGTTGGCGATTCCAGATCCCCGCGGGCAGATGGTCTTGAATTCGGGTGTGTTTGGTTTGGGACAGGCCTCACAGTCCACACCCCATGCCGCTCCCACCGTACAGCAGCACATATCCACGCGATACTGGCCCGGTAACGGCTCCACGCACTCGTCCTCGTCCCATTTCATATAGCACTGCTCGCTTCGGATGTCTACAGGACACACAGACCACTGTAAATCACCAGTTTGATTCGCACATGTTGTTAGTTACAAAAAAAAGAACGGGTTTGTTTTGGATCAGTTGTCCTAAATCATCATAAATCAGTCATAAATCAGGTTGACAGTTTCTGTTTTTGGTTTAAAAACATATTCATGTTGATGTATTATGCTGTCTGCAACCAATAAATCAACTAAAGCAATAAATAATTTGAGAAACTAATATGTTTCCATACCAACACATGTCCGTCCGGCTCCGTCCAGTGTAAGTCCCTCCGGACACTCGCATCGGAACGAGCCCTGCGTGTTCACACAGCGTCCGTTTGTGCACACACCGGGAAACACCTCGCACTCATTAATATCTAAAGACAGAGCAGAAATGGGATTCATCATCATTCAAAGCTCTAGATAGATAATATTGTTAATGCAGCAAAGGATTGTGGGTAACACGTACCTTCACACACAAGTCCCTTCATGCGAGCGAAACCTTTCGAACAGGCTGGATCTGTAGAAAATTCATGTCAAAAACTTTGTTTTGTGTGTTAAAGATTACGTCTTTAAAGCAAACATTGGTTCATTGGTTCATTTGGCTTTTCATTAATACATTACATTTTGGCTTAATTAAATTTGGCTTTACAATTTTTTTTTCCAAACATTAAAACGTTCACTCTTTTTAATAAATATTAATTTCATTTAATATAAATAAATACAAATTAGCAATTAATATACAATATCTAAAAAACTACAATTATTTAAATATAAATCAAATAATAATAAATAAATATAATTATTTGTTATCTAAAAGTTTCGCAATAATCTTTTATTAAATGAAATAAAAATGAATTCAATTAATATAAATTGTACACAAATTGGCAAAACTTATCTATAAAATACACAAAAAATATAATTATTATTTAATATAAATAAAATTACAATAAATAAATATAATTATTTAAAAGTCAATTACCTATGAAATCAAACGAGCCCTTTTTTTTTTTGCATTTTTAGCATTGCTTTTTGTATATGAACTAACCAATTTCGCAGCGTTCACATGGGCTTCCCCAGGC